GTTATATTTTGTATCATGTGCATTTTGTTGGGAGTTGTTTGTGATTTTTAAACCTTTTGGGTTGGCAGTGACATATTACTTTGATATGTCTGTATAGGCCGTCCTTTCTATAAATCCAAGATACATTCCAAAAAACTTATAGCAAAACAACTTAAAGCGGGGAATTTTCTTCCCATGACTAACTTTCATTTGTACAAATGTTTTTTTTTAAACGTCTAAAGAGCAGGAAATAGGAGGACTTATAATGCATCAGTTCCAGAAGCATCAATGATTTTAGTGTGGAACCAATGTATACTGCAGCAACTTATAGTAGGGATGCCTTGTATTATTGGGTGTAGTAACAAGGTGGTATCCCTTTACATTCTCTGAAACAAAAGAAAGGACTATTCAGTACTTTAAAGACTAACAAGATAGTTTATTAGGTGATGAGTTTACGTGGGCTAGACCCACTTCCTCAGATCAAATTCTGGAAGAGAATTGGCATGATCATATATACCAAAGGAATATAATGAAAAAAAGTGAACCCATTATAAAACTGACAAATCATATTTAGAACAAAAGGGGGACAAGGAGCAGGGCTAGTATCTATGGGTATGTTTACACTACCACCCTAGTTTGAACTAGGGTGGTTAATGTAGGCAACCGAAGTTGCAAATGAAGCCCGGGATTTGAATTTCCCGGGCTTCATTTGCATCTTGCCGGGCGCTGCCATTTTTAAATGTCTGCTAGTTCGGACTCTATGCCCGCAGCTACACACGGCACGGACTAGGTAGTTCGGATTAGGCTTCCTATTTGAAATAGCTTAAAATGGAGTGTAATTACTAACCAGCACTGGCACTCTCATTTGGATAGGTATACTTTCCCCTTCTGTTACTTCTTTTGTCCAAAGTTTTCAAAGTACATATCTACTTAGCTTTATAACATCCCTTTGTGTTGTGCATTATTAAACCTATTTTAGAGTTGGCTAGACTAAGGCAGAAAAGTGTACATGTATTGACTTTCCCAGGTTTACATGAGAACTCAGAAGCAGACTCATGAATAGATCTTACTTCATCTCCTAAGATGCATTTTTCTCAGTAGCCCATGCTTGCTCCTCTTTTACCTATGATAGATGGGGTGATAATTGGGGAAGTGATCTTTGTAATGGTAAGGTAATTAGCATCTTTGTTAAGGCCCATTCGTAAAGTGTCATATTTAAGCATGAATGACAGTTCTGAGTTTTCCCTTTGTAGTCTGGTGTTAAAGTCTCTTTGAAGTAAGATACATGTAGTAAGGTCATTAAGACTATGCTCAGGTTGGTTGAAATGAAAAGAAACTGGCTTATCTTTGTGAAGGTGTCTGATGTCTGATTTGTGGGCATTAATTCTTTGGAGAAGTGTCTGAGAAGTTTGTTCAATATACATGGCAGAAGGACACTGTTGGCACACGATGGCATAAATTATATTTCTGGATGAACAGGAATATGTGTTCTTGATCTTCTAACTGACGTGGTTAGGTCCAGTGATGGTGTCACCAGAGTAAATATGTGGACAAAGTTGGCAACTGGGTTTGTTGCAAGGGAAAGTTCCAGGGTTGGTATTAGTGTGGTATGCCCTGTGGAAGCGATGAGGAGTCCTGTGGCACCTTATAGACTAACTGAAGTGTAGGAGCATAAGCTTTCGTGGGCAAAGACCCACTTCGTCAGATGCATGTATGCCCTGTGGTTGTTGATAAGAATCATCCTGAGGTTAGGTGGTTGTCTATGGGGGTATGTCTACACTACCACCCTAGTTCGAACTAAGGTGGTTAACGTAGGCAACCGAAGTTGCAAGTGAAGCCCGGGATTTGAATTTCCCGGGCTTCATTTGCATCTTGCCGGGCGCCGCCATTTTTAAATCCCGGCTAGTTCAGACTCCTTGCCCGTGGCTACAGAGGTGTACCGATAGTTCGGAATAGGAAGCCTAATCCGAACTACCTAGTCTGTGCCGCGTGTAGCCGCGGACACGGAGTCCGAACTAGCCGGGATTTAAAAATGGCGGCGCCCGGCAAGATGCAAATGAAGCCCGGGAAATTCAAACTTCGGTTGCTTACATTAACCACCCTAGTTCAAACTACTGTCCCCCAGAGCCTCTCAGAGTGTAGTATCCTGTTCCAGTATAGGTTGTAGATTACTGATAATGAGTTGAAGGGGTTTAAGTTGGGGGCTGTAGGTGATGACAAGTGGTGCTCTATTGTTGGTATATGCCCACAAATGCACTGTTTACTGACTAAAACCTCTGTGAGTGCAGACAGTGTCTTATACCTTCCCAGAACGTCATGTGCAAATTATACCTAAATGTGTGCAAACCAGGATATACAGCTAAGGTACACAAAGGCACTATCAACATCACAAATGGATTTTAGAGCACTTGGAAAAATCGACATTTAAAATGATGAGTTTATTTCAACACACTAAATATTTTGGAGGCAGTGTAACTCCATAATAAGAGAATATGCTGAAATTGTTTTAATATTATCTAGTAGAAATTCCCAAAAGATTGTTCTACTGAAGTTTATCATTTAGGATTATATATAATTGACAAATCAGGTTATATTTCACAATGACATGTCTTGGATTAAACAATGTTCTGACACTGATTTTTTTTTCAGGGTCTAGGTGGATGGTCATGCACAGTAAGTATGCATGAATTTTCCAGCAGTTTAACTGAGAGAAGATCAATAGAATACACACATAGTGTCGATTTTTCATCTTTATGTCATCTTGTTCCCATAAACGTCTGTAGCAGCTTAGGTCTGATATAGCCTAGAGCCAGATCACATTAAATGAACCACATAAACCTTCCTAATCCAATCTGGTCCCATTTAATACAGCTTGACTTTGGGTTTTAAAATCATAAGAACATAAGATCCGCCATGCTGGGTCAGACCAACTTTTGTCACTGTACCTTTTAATTTCTGTTTAACTAACCTCCTCATTTTTGTGAATTTAAATATCATTGTGTTGGTCTGCTGAGGTGTTTTGTCACTATTTATCTGTCTGCCGTTTTCTGATGTGTTAGACTCTTTTTAGTTTGATGGTTTTGAAGCCCATTCGAGAAAAAAAAGGAAAGCTTCTGCCGAAAACGCCTCCAACTGAGGGGTTTGCAGTTCTTCTGACAACTTTCTCGTTCTCATCTGTTTTGACCCATACTTCCATCCTTTCCTCCTGACTAGAACATAAAGCACCTCTATTAATAGAAACCTTTCCTAAAAGATGTCTCTGTCCGATCCATGTACTCCTCTGCACCTGTGGGTCTTAGCTTAAAAACTGTTCTACAACCTTTTTAATGTTAAGTGCCAGCAGTCTGTTTCCATTTTGGTTTAGGTGGAGCCCATCTTTCATATATAGGCACCCCCATCCCAAAAGTCTCCCCAGTTCCTAATTAATCTAAACCCTCCTCCCTATGCCATTGTCTCATCCACGCATTGACACTCTGAAGCTCTGCCTACCTACCTGGTTCTGCACATGGAACTGGAAGCTTTTCAGAGAACACTACCACAGAGGTCCTGGATTTCAATCTCTTTCCTAGCAACCTAAATTTGGCTTCCAGAACCTCTCTCATACTCTTCCCTATGTCATTGGTACCTAAATGTATCATGAGCACCAGCTCCGTCCCAGCACTACACATAAGTCTATCTACATGTCTCGAGAGATCCACAATCTTTGCACCAGGCAGGCAAGTCACCATCTGGTTCTCCCGGTCATCACAAACAAGCTTACTATGTTTCTAATGATCAAATCCCCTATTACTAACACCTGCCTTTTCCTGAGAAGATACCACAACATCATCAGAAAGTTGGGTCCCAACTATGGGATCATTTTCCTCTGCTCCAGTTGAATGTTCTCCTTCCCTGAGTCTTTCATCCTCTCTAAGAGCATACGGGCCATCTGACTGGTGGTGGGGCAGTTCTACAGTGTCCCAGAAAGTCTCAGCTATGTACCTCTCTGCCTCCCTTATCTCCTCCAGTTCAGCCACCCCGGCCTCCAAAGCCCATAGGGAGTGTCTGAGGGCCAGGAGCTCCTTCCACTGAATGCACACATACGCCACCCACCCACAGGGCAGGTAATCATATGTGCTACACTGGATGCAACAAAACAGGATAGCCCCTACTCTTCTGCTGGGCTTCTGCCTGCATTCTCTCTTACAGATAAATCAGATCATTTTGATTTTAGTTTAGTTTAAAAGTTTTAATGGATGACAAGTGTACCTTGCGCCATTCGAACTCCCCTTCCAAACTCCCTCATGAAACTCCTTGACATTCACCACCCCTGTTCACAAAGCTCCCCGGTCACCTACTAGGGGGCTTTTTAAAGCCCTGGACTTTCTGATAGCTCCTTCTCCTGGCTAAGACTTGACCAATGAACAGAGGTTTCTAGATTTCAGATCCTCTATAAGAAGCTCACAGCTTCCAACTGCTGTCCACAGCACACAGTCCTTCAAACTAACAGCTCAGCACTTGAATCTCCAAACAACCAGACAAACAGACACAAGCACAGCACACAGTTTCTTTCAGGCAACCAGCAAGTAACAACTTTAAAAATCTATCCATAAACTGCTGGTGAATTACAGCTTCATATAAAGCTATGGATGGATTTTAGTGCAGTCTAGGCTGTGTCTAGACTGGCAAGGTTTTCCGCAAAATCAGATGATTTTGCGGAAAAACTTGCCAGCTGTCTACACTGGCCGCTTGAATTTCCGGAAAAGCACTGACGATTTCCTGTAAAATCATCAGTGCTTTTCCAGAAATACTATGCTGCTCTCATTCAGGCAAAAGTCTTTTTCTGAAAGACTTTGCACGAAAGGGCCAGTGTAGACAGCATAGCATTGTTTTAAGCAAAAAAGCCCCGATCGCGAAAATGGCTATCGGGGCTTTTTTGCGGAAAACCACGTCTAGATTGGCCATGGACGCTTTTCCACAAAAAGTGCTTTTGCGGAAAAGCACCCTGCCAATCTAGACGTGCTTTTCCAAAAATGCTTTTAACGGAAAACTTTTCCATTAAAAGCATTTTCGGAAATTTATGCCAGTGTAGACGTAGCCCCATAGTATAATGAAAAAATGTTGTAAGATTTACGGTTGTCAGTGTGTTATAATGGATGATTGGACTGGCATTTATTTCTCAGGACATATGAATTGTAACAAAACCCAGTTATGATATGAAAATAAAAGAAGTTATAAATTTAAGGTAAAGCAATGCACAGATACTTAAAGAGCCATTCTTTTTTTCTTTTCTTTTTTTTTCAGAATCTACCAAGAAATTAATGGGTAAGTCTGCCTGGAAATGTAAACAGGTTCACGCTTCCTCTTTCTGTCTCATCTCCCTCTCTCTCTCTCCCTCTTCCTCCCCCTCCCCCCCCCCCCCAGGGGTGGGCAGGTGGGCAGAGCAAATGTTAACTGTATTTCTGGAATACGTACAGCCTGCCCTCCGAAGTGCGTGGAAGTTCCTTGCCTCTGAAGTAGCCTAAGGACAAATCTTGTAAAATCATCCACACACAGGCCCTGTACTCCATTCTGTCATGCAGCATATCCTGGCCAAGAGTCAGTGTGGATGGGAAGGGGGGGAATGGTGACATAAGCCAACTTTGTATGTCCTCATATTCTAGATCCTTGCAATGACAACAGCTCCCTCTGATCTAGTCTTACCTCCTAAAGTCCCTCAGAATTCTACACCTGCCTAAAAGTCTTACAGGGTTCTTCAGCACTTTCACAGCCAGCTTGGTGACAACATAGAAGCTGTCCCTGAATGCTCTCATGGGGCAGTGGAAAAGCCAGATGGAACTGGCTAGAGTGGCATGAGGGTGCATTAGCAGAATCCCAGAGCTCACTTGCCCATTTTCCCAGGAATAATTGGAGTGCCACACCCTTCATCCCCAAGACACACACCTTTACTTTGAACCTGGGCCAGCCTTACAGGTTGGTGATGTGGGCCAGTGCACTGTCTACAGTAGAGTAGGTGGCATGGTCAGGGACAAGCAGTGTGGGCCTTGGTGACAAGCCCATGGAAGGAAGCTTGGGTCAATGAAATGTGGGGTAGGTGATGGGAACTGCGTATGATGGGAGAGCGCAGAGCCTGGGGGCAGTAGGTGCAAAGAATGATGGTAGGACGGATGGAGAGGCAGCACAGACAAGGCGTGATGGGGTAGATTGGAAGCCAAGAGAGAAAGCAAGTTCAGAGAGGATGCAGCGGCAGTGGAAGCCAGAGACAATGAGGTGGGGGTGGAGAATGGGGCTGGGGAGACAGAAGGGACAAAGGGGTGCCAAAATATGTGTTCTCCCACGATGACCATCTCCCTAAGACTGACCTTTGTGGAAGTGGGTGTGGGGGAGGAGAGGGAGAAATGCCATGAAATTTTACGCAGATGCACCTTGCCTGGAAAAGCCAAACACAACTGGGGGTTTCCCCAGACTTGAATCTTTCAATCCTGCTTCTGAAGAGTAAATGATTTGTACTTGCTTAAAATGAGCCAAAACACAAGATTTGGCATTTCCTGTTTATTACATATTTCATTGATTAGCACATTTTGTTGCTGATAAAATGGTTATGAAAGTGAACTTTAAAAGTAAATAATAAATTAATATTAATTATCATTTGTGTTATGGTAGGGCCTAGGAGCCCCAGTTATGGACTAGGAACCCACTGTGCCCATATCGGTACATACACAGAACAGACAGAGTCTGCTCTAGAGAGATGAGCACAATGAAACAATGAGCCAACATAGGACAGCATGATGAGCAAAGATCTCAGCTCACCAGCAGCCTGACAGCCG